GCTTCCTGGCAGTAAAATCTATGGGCTGTAAAAGCGCCTGAAAAGGAAGTGGTGAAATCTTTTTCTCTTGGGACTCTTTAGATACACATTAGAAATCATGATAATGAGAGAGTAACCTTGTACAGGCAGAAGAATAATAAACAAAAAGATTATTTCCATCTCTAGCCTTTACACCGAAGTCAGTTCATAAGAACAATGGGGAAATGCCGATAATCAGCGGATGGTGATTGTCCTCCTTTTTCTCCTTCTTGGAGAGATTAGTGGAAAGACCTTGCAGTCCTGCTCCAAATCAGCACATTGCATCTGGTTTCAAGGGATGGTCTAAGCTTGCACTGGTTTTTTAAGCATTTCACCCCAATTGGACTGGCAGCAAAGAATGCTGTCAAATAACAGCTTTAACACATATGCATAGTCAGGGTGCATAGTTCAGTCTTTATGTGTGCCTTGTCTGCCAGGCATTTGGTTCTGATGACTAGTCCCAGATCATGACCTACTATGATTAATTTAAACTGGGACTTCATGGCTCCAGTTTAACACAAATGTTCGAGACTTGAATTCATCCAAAAAGTGTTTCTGAGCATTTGGAACTTTAAAAGAATATCTAGTAATTAGATAGCACCAGATCCTATTTAAAAATAATATATTTGGTTGTTTTAGATTAGGTAGGCTTAACCCATCTATCAATGAGTAGTAACAAATATTCATCTTATTTGAATTAAAACTAAGCCTGTTAAGAAATATATCAGACTCCTTCTATTTAATCTGATTTTATTATATTATATTAATTTTGTTATTCTTTGTATTAGTTTTATTGTTTTAAATGTGGTTTTATATTTTGTAAGCTGCCTTGAGTTGCCATGGGTGAATAGGCAGCAATATAAATTCAATAAATAAATAAACTACATTTTGAAAAGAGGAAAACATGAGACAAAGAGGACCATAGTTAAGAAGACACAAAGCAGTAGATGACCTTTCCTAGTGGTCATAGATATGATTATTTAATCAATTTACTCTATTAAAAAAATCCCGCATAGGTACAGAGATATGATGAACAATCACACTTACATTAGAAAAGACTTAAGAAGCTGGAAAAAAATGCTTATAATGTCCTTGCAAAAAATTAATTCATACTTAACACAGTAGATCTTCTTCTTGTGCCATACCCATCATCAGATGTTGGCAATCATGTTGGCAATCCATCCAATACTGTAGATGGAAATTACTTTTTATCATTTTCTGCTTGTTTTTCTTTCATGAAATGCAAAGTGGATAGAGTTGACCTGGGTATTCTTTTGGTCCTTGCCCAAACAACACCAACACCACTCCATCTTTATTATATTACCAATTTTGCTATAAATTAAATCAGATGGAAAATTTATTAAAGAGTTTTGCCAGTCTGACATGTGGCAAAATGAAAGCAGCGCAACTGGAAGTACAAAAATGTTTATTCTGATATGCTTAAATTATAATTTTCCTGAATGAATCCTGAATCTGTTTACACGTTCACCTTATATGGGCTATCTTATCACAATGCGCCAATTGTTTCTCAATTTTGACATATCTGCAACCTCCTTTCTAGTTTCTTGCTTGACAATTTGCAGTCGCAAAATATACTGCTTATTTAAAAACTTCAACCAGACAATAGAAATCTATTTACAGGCTATAGAAATCAAAAAGTACGATACTGAGATAAGTATTTATTAAAAACAAAATTAACAAAGCAACTGAATTATGATTGTATTGAACTAGCACAACACATTTTAATTGGGCACCAATATAAAAAAGATAATTTTCAAAGCTTTAATGTCTACAGAACAGTGTAACTAAAAATATTCAAATGTATTTTTTCAAACCCATGTTCAAAAGAATCAAGAATCTGATTCTAAATATTTATTGCAATATTAATATACTGTTGAAAAATAAAGATTGGAACATATTTAGTTGCATGTAGTCATTATCCATCACAGGTCTCCAAATATTTCTGAGGGGCAGCAGGCCAAACACCTTGACTCAACTATTCCCTTTGCGGTGTCCTGGCTCTGTTGCCAGCCATGCATTAAAAGGAGAATGTCCAAGCTAGAAACCAATCTACATACAGCAATACCCTTAATTCAAATGTTCCCTTTTTAGTATGTTCAGGCCATACAGTGGGGACAATCAACAAGTAGTTGCCCACAAACACAGCATTCTTCATCTCCTTGTGTCTAATGGGATATCATGAAAGAATGTCCAAAAGAGATCTTCTTGGCTACTTAGTAAACCTAAGTAATAATTTTGTGTGTGTGTGTGTCTGGCTATAATGTTGCTGCGGGCATGTGGAAGTTGGTTTAGATGGAAAAGGACAAGACAGTTATTATAAGCCATTATCTTTCCATCTTAAATAGCTCCAGCCCTTGCCTGCAACCTAGAGATGTTGCATTTATCTATATCAGGCCTACCAACACAAAACCAACATGTAGCCTTGTGTGGCTTCTTGCAAACTTTTTAAAAAGTTGATAAATTAATTGCCACCATTCCAAAAGACATGTAGCCAAGCACCTCCAGGCTGCATTGGAGATAACAACTGCCACTGTTATCTCCAATGCAGCTGCTGCTCTCCTAACCACCAAACTACTGACTGGCACATAAAAGTATTCTTTTGTGACCTGCAATTATTTTAATTTATCAATGTTGTCTTTTCCCTCTACAAGTTGTGCAAACCTGATTTATGAAAAACTATCCTTCAGTCTCAATTCTCAGGTCTCACTGTATCAGCATTATTTCTCTATCAACCACCAATCATAATATATGGATACTTTCACCCAAAGAATGGCAATGTAACTATGGAAAAATTTAAAACATCAAAGAAATATATTTTCCAAACAAGAACGGGGTTTGGAAGAACATAATTCTGACTTGGTTCTCATTCTTCTACAGAGTTGGGGAACAATGTCACCCAGCAACTACAAATATTTTAATCTATTTAAGAAGTTCCAATATTGTCAATGTCTATTCAGTTACAGATGGGACCTAGAAATAAACAATAATTTATTAAGTTAACTTCCTATCACATGGTCTGTACATAATGGTCTAACTGTAATGAGTTAGTTACCATCTGTTTTGTGAATAACCCAAACCAAGAGCTCACTGAGAGTTAGACCAAAAATACAGGTGGGTCCTTTTTTGTGCATTTAACCATTTTTTCCATCAGACATGGAGATCCCCTGGCAGCTTATAACATGGTGATTTAAACCCTTTGATTTTAGCCCTCATGATCTTGTCCTTATTTAATTATGTTTTAAATGGTTTTATAATAGTGGCCTCTTTGAGGGAGATGGGCAATTCAGAAGTGTGAAATATAAATAAATAAATTTTATTATGCAATGCCTAGAGTAACTTTGTGTGAAATAAAAAGTTATATAAATTTGATGAATGGAATGAAATGAAATATGGAGATGGCTTAAAGGACGGATATTTAGGGCATCTATTCCCTATTTTAAGATGTCCTCCCCAGATAGGCTCTGCCCTCATCTACTTTGTGGAGGGCAAGTCTTCTGTCATACAAAGCCTAATGCTACTCTTAACTTGACAGAAGTTATATACTCCTAACCTATGGACTACTGAAAATTATTTTCAAATTTTCATGGAGCCACATTGCTGTCTACCACTTTTTAAATATAATATAAAGTAAGATACTTTATAAAAGCAGGTTTAGGGAACATCACAGTGGTGGATCTCCTATAATATCAGGCCCAGCTGGCTCTCGCTGAAAAGGGCAGGTGATACATATGTTTATGAATCCACCTTAGATAGTTATCAGCCCCCACTTCACTTAACCTTGCAGCTGACCTAGCTATAAGGCCCAAATTAGGAAAATAGCAGTTTTATGCCCTAGAGATAGACCACTTCCTTCAATCCTCTTTGCCAAATCCTAACCCCAAATATCAGACAATATAGAGCAAGGCTTGCATTCTAAATCACATAAAGGAACCAGAACAGACATAATGCTGTATTAATAAATATAGCATTTATTAATAAAGTGCACACACTTTGTACATAAGAAACCTCTCACATACAAGTAGGGCTAAGAGAGCCCCTGTGTGGTACACAGAAGACCCATGCCACGACCTTCACCAATTATGGGCTGTTTGACCTTTCCTTCTATTCAATCCCCCCTTTAATCTATCTGACAGTTCTAAAACTGTTTGTCAAGGGTGCCTAACTTCTTCCTACCTGCTAATCCCAGTGCACCACCCGCTTCCTCCTCCTCTGCTCTTCCGACTTACAGCATTTGTGGCCCACCTTCCACAGCAAAATCTTCCAAAGCATAATACATACCATTATAGCGCGGAGCAACAGGCATTCTACTAATTTATAACATAGGTACATAAATTAGATATAGCAGGTTTAAAGGATCCGAGTTCCAAAACTCAGGGCAATTACTAGATCGCAGAATTACTATACAACTGACAGGCTGACTTTCCACAGTCCACATCTGGCGCCTTCAGCCATCACAAAATGAAATACAGTATGTAAATCCCAGCCCCGATGACTTAAGGTAATCGTTAATATCGATTCGCTTTCAACTACCTACAAGAAGCAACTAATTCCTTTGGGTGCAGTAGTCGTCAGCAATGCATCACGCTACAAGTCCCCCCACCTTTTTTAAAAAAAAAAAGTTTTTAAAGTTTTCTCGACAAGCCACGCTTAGGGAAAAGCTCCATCTACCTCCACGGAGTTTAGCGTGGGGTAACACGGATCAGCTCCTCCGAACGGAGCAACAGGACCGACCGCTACGCTCATCCAAGCCCAGCTACCGCGGAGTAGTAGACGCGCTCAAAAGGGAAGGGCGGGCCGGAAAAGCTCCGGAAGGGCACTCGTTGCTTTGAGGAGGCGGGCCTAGCTGAGCGCCGCGCCGCAGGGAGGGAGACCTCGCGGCCCCGGGAGAAGCCGCGGCACTTCAGGCTACAGCGTGGGAGGCGCGGAGGGCGCGCGTGGGTCGAGCTAAGGAGGCTGCTTACCTGCGGAGCCGCCAGCGACGATTTGCTGTGACGCCTCGTGCCAGAATTTCCTGGGTTTCGCCGTCATGGTCGTGTGGAAGGAAAGGAGGCAAAGCCGCGTGAAAGCGTCCGCGCCGCTGGGGTTGGAGGAGGAGCAGTTAGCGGGGCTGTGACTCGAAAGCTGGCGAGCCAGGAGCGCCTCCTTTAACGCGCGAGCGAGGCGTCCCCCAAGCACGGAAATAGTAACTGGGAGCAACGGGGAGGGGAACAGCAGCCTTAGCAGAGCCAAGTGCCCTCCTGCACTCTCGGCAAGATGCGACCGCGGCTTCCCTTATTCCAAAGCCCCCGCAACGGCCTATAACCTTTATACTGAACTGCTGGGCATTGTGCCACCACCACGAGCCCGGTGGCTGAACTTCTGCCCTGGGAAACGACGGAGAGACGGATGAAGCTCTTTCCCACATCCCGGATCAAGAGTACCAGGCTGCTGCCCGATTAAATGCCTCATTTCCGTCCCGACCCGTTATATTGCTTTTCCTTTTTTATCCTTCCTCCGACAAATCTCGAAGTAACACTTACCAGGGCTGATTTGGAGCAATGCTTCTGGACAAGGCTGCTTTCTGTTTTGGTAGGGGGAGATTAGATAAGTGAACCATGTCACTATAATTTTCTTTCTTTTTAAACTAATCCAGCACCCACATCGATTTGTGCCAAAATTCAGTTCCCACTACTTCAGCCATCATAATTGTTGGATGAGAATTTTGGAAATCGTGGTTTAAAAATGAGGGTTAAGGTGGCAGGTTAAGGTGGCTTCCACTAAATTGGTGATGAAAGTCCTCACATCTTATGAAACTGCTTGGGACACTAGCAGCTCTAAATAACTAACTTCTACAGGTAACCAAGTACTTTCTTACCCCACTGAATGTGCCTGTGTACACACACCTTGCTGCTTAGCAAATTCTCTATTCCAGGTACCTGTTTGTTTTTTAAGATTTATTTTTAAAAAAATAGGTGCTGATGACATACATAACGCCTGCCTTCAAAAACATCTTTACAGTGTTTGCAATGTTTCTGAGCTTCCATTGACCCCTCTGTTAGATTAAAATAGCGGTTCAGAAATCTGACCAGCTGCCAAGAAAGAATCAAACTTAGTAGAAAGAGCACAAGCACATTTTCAAAATTCCAGTTGTGCCCACTAACTTAGAAACATTGTAAACCATATTGATCCCAATAGCAGTTTGCTACTGGGTGACTTGCAATTAAAAGATAATGAAGGGAATAGTAATAATAAAGAAATGTAGTAAAATATATTATAGCATTAAGTAGAGAGTTACTCTATAGGCATTTATCTTGCTGTTGTTAAAAAAGATTTCCTTAACCTTTCACTTGTTGTAAAACAATTATAAACACATGCCTGCAATCAGTTACATCCCTCTCCTGTTACGACACAAGATTGCCCCATCTAAATCAATCTGAATCCATCTGTTGTCCTGGATTGATACATTTCATTCCAGCATCACCCCCCGGGAATGAAACATACCTCCTGGAATCCACACCTTTGAAGTATGCTGTTAATAGCCTCCTTAAGTGGTCAGTTGTGATCAATTAGATGGACAATAGGAGAAGAGATAGTGAAAGGTAAACATTGCTGGAGAGAGATTTGTCTTTTGCAGGAAAGATGTAAATCTAAGAGTTTTTACAATGCAGTTACTAGTATAAGAAGGACAGGGCATCTTTCTGTATTTTGTAGAATTTTCCTCCTGTGTCTCATGATGTGCTAGGAACTTCTTTCCAGATCTTTGATCAAAGAACAAAAGTCTGCTTTCTTTGATTTTGTAAGCCTCTGTTTAAGTCTTTGTTTTGGTTTATTTTTTGCTTAACCATGCTGCCAGATCTTACAATAGTACCAAAATGAGAGAAACTTGTATCACTGAGAATTACAATAATTCATACCTTAGTTGCCTTCAATTGCCTTTTCATAGGTAGATTACTTTTTCCATGGAATAAAACTTTTCAAGACGCATCTGGCACTATCACTATCAGATTTTTCCAAGGTGGAAGATACTGTTTCACCTACACAGCCGTTTTTGTGCAGAGATTTTAGCCTGTAATTAGGGGCTGCAAGGCAGGATCTGCCTTATAGCCATTTTGGCCCAGAGTATGAATCATTTTTTGTCTTGCAATATCCAGCAAAAACTGTGACACACAAACACTAAAAACATAACTTATGAACATTTTTCACACTTAGTACCATTGTAGCATTCCCCCATGTCATGTGATCAAAATTTAGACATTTGGCAATTAACACATATTTATGACAGTTGCAATGTTCTGGGATCATGTGATCACCTTTTGCAGCCTTCTGACAAGCAAAATCAATGGGAAAGTCAGATTCACTTAACTATGTTACTAACTTAACAACTGCAGTGATTCATTTAACAACTTGGCGAGAAAGGTCGTAAAATGGGACAAAATTCACTTAACAACTTAGCAACATAAATCTTAGGCCAAATCAAGGACTACCTGTACTAAGACTTTGCGGCCTTCTTTCCCAACACTCTTTAGCAGCAGTAAAATATGTTACTACTTTTCCAAGCAGTTTTGTTGAGATTTTCACGTAACATAGCAGCTGCTTTAACTTTCAGAGACAAATGCTTTGCTCATACAGGCATGTTTCACAAGTACCCTGTCTGATTGCTTCACCTCACTCTTAACAGCTAATGAAGCAGGGGTTAAATATCACAATATAACTTGGCTTACTCTGTGCCAAAGGTTCACTACTAGTTTATGCAGTCATTAAGAATATTGGATAAAGCCTGGCAAAGTCTTGTTTCAATCTATTCTCACCTTAGAAACACCCCGAGTAACTGACTCAGTGACACACACTCTGCAATTTACTTGACAGCATTATTGCAACGGGAATTGAAATAAAGCTGACTCTTATGTCATTTGCCTCTTGCTCCTGCAGAAAAAGTAATATGCTTGCAATAGTGATAGTTATAGCTATTACTACAAACTATTATAATAGTTAAGTTTATTGAACTTTTTCTTAGGAATATGACTAATTCCATCACCTGCAGAAAAAGAAAACTGACATATCTACAGGAGGGATACTTTACTCTTTGAGTAGAGCCATAAGATCTCAGTTCTGTCATTAATAACTGCAAATGGTTGTATTTTGATTACTTCTTTCATGAACAGCTATACAAAAATAGTTGCTCCAAGAAGCAAGTCATTTGGAACATCAATAGGAAGATGCCTTTGAATGCTGTTTCTAACCACCGCAGATGCTTCCATGCAATAAAACTCCAATTACAAAATTGTGTGGTGGAAAACGCCTCAAATTAACTGCTTTCTGTGACTACATTCCCTTTTATAGCTATGCTTTCCAGGAATTATGTATTAATGGGTGTTCTTTAATCAGATGCTAAGTAGATTTGCAGCAGTAGAACTTCTACAGGCCAATCATCTTTTAGGACTGATAGAACAGAAATTCCTCCTTCCATGTTAAACTTTCATCCTAATTCATCCATACCATTAGAACCAATCACTCTGCAGAAGTCCTGTGCTTTTCTTTTCAAGACTGATTCTTGGCTGATATATCTCCTTTGGACCTAAATGTACCAGCCTAAGCACAGGCAGAAAATGAGCAATCTATTTTCTAAAGCAACCTATTTTCCAAAGCACCTGAAGGCAAGACAAGGAACAATGGATGGATTGAAAGTGTTCAAGGAGAGAGTCAACCTAGAAATGAGACAGCAAGAACAATCAACCAATGGAACGGCTTGCCTTCAGAAGTTGTGAGTGCTTCATCGCTAGTGGCTTTTAAGAAGAAACTAGACAGTCACTTGCCAGAAATGGATTAGGGTCTTCTACTTGATCAGGGGGGTTGGACTAGATCAGGGCTATCAAACTCCCATCCCATGGGCCAGAGGCATCATAGGCTGGCCATGCCCAGTTTAGCAAAGGGGGGGAAAGTCCAGTTATGTCACGTGATGCCTCTGTGATGACATGAGTTTGACACCCCTGACTAGATCTACAAAATCCCTTCCAATTCTTATTCTGTAATTCTATTTGGAGTTGAAAACTTATTTTTTTTCCTTTTCCCTACAAAAATAAATGAGAACTGACCAGTGATTATGACAGAGAAAACTCAAATTTTAATTAAGAGCACAGGACAGATGGAAGCTGATAACTCTTAACTCAGGAAATATTTTTTAATGAAGAAAAAAGTATACCTTAAATAAGCTGCCAAACTATTGTGATGCTCACACAGTTGGCCATGCCTTAGGAAGGCGAGGTTGCCATACTCTGCAATGTGCAAAACAGCCAGATTCTGGCTAACAAGAGTCTGGTCCAACAGACAACAAATGGTCAAAATTGAGAGCGTCCTATCAAATTCTGTACCTGTCAACAGTGGTGTCCCCCAAGGCAGTGTTCTAGGACCAACTCTCTTCATACTCTACATAAATGACCTCTGTGATCATATTAAGAGCAACTGCGTTCTCTTCGCTGATGATGTAAAGCTATTCAACACCACAGACAATACTGCTACCCTTCAAAAAGAGCTTGACTGTATCAGAATGGTCAAACAAATGGCAACTTCAAATCTCAACAAATAAATGCTCTGTCTTACATATTGGCAAAAAAAATCAGAAAATAAAATACAGGCTGAGTAGTGAAGACCTTGTTGATGATCCAAACTCTTTCAAGGATCTTGGAGTACTCATCTCAAATGATCTAAGTGCTAGAGCCCACTGTAACTACACAGCCAAAAAGGCATTAAGAGTTGTTAATCTAATCTTATGTAGCTTTTTCTCTGGTAATATCACACTATAACTAGAGCATACAAAACATTTGCTAGACCAATACTCAAATACAGCTCATCAGTCTAGAACCCACATTATGTATCTATTATTAACACAGTTGAGAAAGTCCAGAAATATTTCACAAGAAGAGTTCTCCACTCCTCTACTTGTTGCAGAATACCTTTATGCCACCAGACTCGAAATTCTAGACCTAGAAAACCTTGAATTATGCTGCCTTCAGTTCAATCTAAGTATAGTATATAAACTCATACATTGCAATGTCCTACCTGTCAATGGATACTTCAGCTTCAACCATAACAACACAAGAGCAAACAATAGATACAAACTCAAGGTTAATCGCACCAAACTTGATTGCAGGAAATACGACTTCAGCAACAAGCGGTCAATGTTTGGAATACTCTACCCGACTCTGTAGTTTCTTCCCCAAACTCCCCAAACTTTAACCTTAAGACTGTCTACTATTGACCTCACCCCTTTCCTCAGAGGTCTGTAGGGGGCGTGCATAAGCGCACCAACGTGCCTACCGTCCCTGTCCTATTGTTTCTTTTATTTTTCTTATATGTATCCATGTATTTACAACTATGTTTTTACTTATACCTATTATCTTGTAAGCAATTGACAAACCAAAGAAAAAGCACAGGCTCAAAAAGGCTAGCGAACTTTCTATTATCGATTGTGGGACAACGCTTTAAGATGTTAATTGGTTGCTGATTAGACAATGGCAATGGCATGTTTTTTCCGCCCCTCACCTTAATCCTGGAAATGCATCAGCGACTGAACACAGCTAGTTTGGTATACAATATTAGCATTAAGTTCCACAGGGAATAAAGTTAACACGCTGAGAAGCACCGAGACTGTTTCAGTCTCAGGAGTGCTAAAAGACTGTGTTTCCAGGGGTTTCAATATTGGGTTGCTAGGATGTTGCGGTATATTTTTTAAAAAGCACGTGAGGAAAGTCTTCAGAATTTATCAAAGTTTCCCACGCGGAACAAGCCGCTTAGCAAGCACAAAAAAAAGAGCAGGGCGGGAGAAGGGAAAGAAGGCGAGCCCCGAGCGTGAGTAAAAGAGAGGAGCGCAACGCTTTATTTCTCCAGCGGCTTTTCCTTCCCGGCAAGAGCTCATTTCCGCCCTAAGTTGGGTGGAAAGAAATTTAAAGCTCAACGATTCCGGAAGTCGATGGTTTGAGTGAATCTATCGATTATGAGTCGGCTGCACTGAGCCGGCAGAGAAGGGAACCCTCTCCTTCCTCCTCCTCTTTGTTGTTTTTGTTTTTTTGTTTTTTGCTTTGCGCGCTTGGGCCAGTTCCGGGCGAAAACCCAACAGGTAAAGCGAGCTCCTTTGGACGCGGCTGCGTCACGCGCCCGGTTTCGAACGTCGCCGGTCTTTTGGCTGCCGGGGCAACGTCTCGTGCTTCTTGGGGGGGGGGGGGGATGTGAGCCCTTTGCAGAGCATAACGGGGCGGGTACGTTGGAGGAGGAGGAGGAGGAGCGCAACAAGCACCTGGCTAATAAAGGCGGGTTTGCAATAGGTGCTTCTCGTCCATTCCGCATATCTCCTTTTAATCTCCCTTGCGGCCTGTCTTCTGAGACAACATTAAGTGGGGGGTTGGGGGGCGGCAACTTAAGTTACTTTAGCGCACGCCCCCTCAACTTTTTGGTCATTCCATCCCAGCATTCCCTGCTGGCGCAGGGAGGAATGACGGGAATTGCAGTGCGGCACTCAAACATGATGTATTTGCTAAAATGTATTCCCTTCTCCCTTCAGGAGCTCCAGTGGAAGAAGACCGTTCTTGTTTCAGCGGTTGTGATAGAACAGGAGTCCCCAAACTTGGCAACTTTAAGACTTGTGGACTTCAACTCCCAGAAGGCTGGAGAATCCTGGGAGTTGAAGTCCACAAGTCTTAAAGTTGCCAAGTTTGGAGACCTCTGTGATAGGAGCTTAACTGCATAATCAGCATGGTTAAAGAATTGCATAAGCACATACATTTTGAGCCCAAAATGTATTTCCGTTTCCAAGCCAAAGCAGTTAAATGTATTTTGCCCCATTTTATGATTTTGGGGCCCCGGCTGATAAGTGAATCATTGCAGTTGCTAAGTGAATTACGCAGTTGTTAAGTAAATCTGGCTTCCCAGTTGACTTTGCTTGTCGGAAGCCGGCTGGCAAGTTTTACAAAATTGTGATAATATGACCTCTGGACACTGCAACTTTCATAAATAAATGCCAGTGGCCCAGCACCTGAATTTTGATCAGGTAACCATGGGGATGCTGCAACAGTAGTGTGAAAAGCAGCCATATGTCACTTTTTCAGTGCCACTGTAATTTTGGCCCTTAACTACATGGTTGTAAGTTAAGGACTATCTGTATCCCTCATTGTCTTACAATGAAAATTGCTCTTTTCCCAGCTTCACATATCAACAATATGTGATTTCCTTAGGCAACTTTGCCTATGCAAATAGTATTTATTTGGTTTTTGTCCAGTACTATTGGGCTAGGTCTACAGCAAGGGTCTCCAAATCCCGGGTCATGGGTGGGTACTGATTTGCAGCCCATTGGGAACCAGGCAGGGGTGGAATTCCACCGGTATAACAACCTGTTCGGTGATTGCACGCTTCAAACCGATAGAATCCCACCCCTGGAACCAGGCCAGGCAAGCAGCAGGCAAGTGGGCAAAGCTTCATTTGCTCATGCACAGAAACTAGGTTGTGTGCATTAAACTATCCCTTCCCCCTCACCATTGCCACTGCTGCTGCCACCAGTCCATGGAGACAGAAAGGTTGGGGATCGCTTGCTATAGAACATGTTGTGGTCTGAAAATGATGAATTCCACTTTGACAATTGTGATTTGGCAACATTTATTCTGTTTGCTGTTTTCATTGTTTTATATCTGTTGCAAAAGAGAGCCATTTGAGGATGTTATAAATTCAAAAACCTCTATATCATCTCAACAGTTCTCAGTAGCAGCCAGGAGAAGAAGTCATGTTACACGTAATTTTTATGTTGGAAAAATAACCTTATAAGTTACATTTGTCCAGATTACTGTTTTTTTAAACCTGACAACTTTTAAGATGTGTGGGCTTCAATTCCCATGCTGGCTGGAGAATTCTGGGAGTTGAACACCACGCATCTTAAAGTGGCCAAGTGTAAAAAAACTGGTCTATATATTCTTCTTCACTGATACATTTGTTATCCTGGAGGCTGAAGAATCTAAATGTAGATATTTTGACATTTGGCAACAAATCACTATGTAAAATGACCTTACAGAGGGTGGCAATTAGCATGTAATAAGATATCATGTTTCCTGAAATTACCAGGATCTGTAATTTTAATCATTTTTTAAAAAAAATATTTGCGTCTGTAAATATACCCTAGCCCTCTTCCAGATGGTAGAAGTTATTTTGATCCAATTAGCCTCTAAGACTACAATCTTCTACACATTTCTCTAGTTGTACATGTTTTGTGTTTGATTAACTCAGAGTAACTGTATTTCAGTAGAAGGGAAGAATAAACAGAAGACAAAGCCCTTTTTTAAAAAAAATTTTTTTATTGTTAACGTATCACAAAAAGAGATTGAAATCATAGGTTCCCTGAAGCCTTTGAGAGAACATGTATTGCCAGAATAAAGTTTGTGTTTCCATTAATTTAGTTTATACAGAACTTGTTAGGATCATCTATCCATCCCTTAATCATTCAGGATTCAGGAGGAGATGTGGATAGCACATCCTCCTTCTGTCCTGGCCAATTTTTACAGAGGCTTGATTGAGAGTGTTTTAACAAACTGCATCATTGCCTCAGATAGAAGGTCCATACAAAGAGTGGTAAGGACAGCTGAGAAGATTATAGGATGCTCGTTTCCTATTATTCAGGTTACTGCTGATAAGCACACTGTGCTTAAAGCTTGAAGTATTGTCAGAGACCCTCAAACACTCACTTCATGGTCTGTTTCTGTTGCTCCCCTTTGGGAGGAGGTTTCCATAGCAGAACTACTACTCTGTAACAGCTTTGTTCCTTGTTGTTAGGAATGTAAGTCACCTAACAGCTATTTGGGTTGGAAATATATAAACCAGGATAGACATTTTAATACTGTATCTTTAAGAAAATGAAAAAAAAATGGTAATTGGGTGTGGTTTCTCAAACAGCCATAAGATGGAGCGAGAAACCTGGGTGGTTTAGTCTTAGTCTCAGAAGAGAGTGTGTCTGAGTGAGTCTCTGTTTCCTTCTGTTGGAGAGTTTTGCTGTTCCTCATAATTGACTGATATTCCTGGATTTGATGTAAGTCTGATACTGAACTGTTTTTGGCCCTGGACTTTGTTATTAGATTATCCCTGGATTGAAAAACTGACCGATTTTACCTGTGAATGACTTTGGACTGCTTGTTTTGAATTTTGCTTAAACCTTTCTGGAAGTAAAAAGCTACATTTACTGTACAGTGTATCTGTGTGCTGTGTGTGTATTATTCAAACACTACTCTCAAATACGTATGTGCTCATTCTCCTAATGGGGAATTACCTCAACACTTGTGCCATCTGCCTTGTAAATTTGCAGTATTCTTTTTTCCCCTGTATATGTATACATTCGAACTAGACTGTGATATTTCTCTGTGTCATATGTGTGCGTGTAGGTATATGCATAATGGTTATCTTTTGAGAGCTGAATGCAATGAAATTTCATGTTAATGTATGCTAATTAGTGTACATTTAAATTGACAATAAAGTTTTATTCTATTCTTCTATTCTAATTACAGGAATTACTGTGGAACAATTATTTAATATAGTCTTTCCCAACCTGGTGTTGAACTTCAGCTTGCACAAACTCTAATCATCTTAGTAGGGAATTAATGGGAGCTGATGTATAATACTTTTGGTGTCAGTTTAATTATGTATGATGGAATAATGGTTTGTTTTCCTTCCCATGGGTATGAAATTTTAAAGCCACAAATGAAATTTCCTTCCAATGAATTCATGGATATGCTGTGTAGCTTTCTTGGCAGTATTCCTATAAGATCTTTCAATTCTCCTATCCCAAATCCTAAGAATTCCTCATTGTCTCCCATCCAAGTAACAACCAGGTCTGATTAAATATTTTATCAACCAGCTGACCGCCACCTGCTGTAACAATGGTCAGTATTCTCAGATAATTTGTGCTAAGGTCAAATATGTTGGTCTCTTTGGTGAGGAGAGAAAGGGGAAGGGTTTGCCTCTAGAATCACATTATACAAATAGTTGTTGGATGGCACAGCCACTAGTCTTGTGGTGGTTTAGCATGCTTTCTTTTATTTTCTGCTTCAGGGTAATTTTTTTTAAATTAGATGCCAGTTTCTTTGGCATCTCCCATTACCTTCTTTAAAATGGCTTGTTTTCAAGATTCGATGTTTCATTTTTTACATCTCTCCAGTCAGAGTAATCCAGAGTTTTGCTTCTGTTTTCTAAGATGAATATCAGGAAAACTAACAAACTCATTTAGCTGCTAGCAAACAGAATTTGCATTTTAAGTTATTTTTACTAATATGATGAAAATGTTCCAGTTATTAAAACTTCCAAGTTATTAAATAAAGAATAAGAGCTGAAAATTTAGCATTTTATACCTTAGTGCTCTATACTTATACTTAGTACATTACAAGTGCAAATGTCTCTCTTCTGAGATTTTATTTTCATTGCTCCTTTCCTCTTATTTGACCTTCAGAAATCTTTATCTAAATAATAGAAGGAATCAACAAAACACACATATGCAGAAATTAAAATTCAAAAACATGATAAATATAAAATTTAAAATCCAGAACAACAATAACGAAAACCTCTTGAGATAAGTAACAGTGGGAAGATATTTTCACCTGGCTTCTGTAAAAAAGAAAAAACTAAACTTTTTGATAATTGGACGTGTAAGTGCCAGGCACTATGGGTGGTACAGTGGGCAATATATCAATACATCGATGACTGATGCTACCTCTTTACCTGAGAAGAAGTATATAAAATGGCTGTATGAGAAACATTTACCTTGTATATTTGCCTATAGTCTCTATAATAGATATTAGGGCCAGAATTGTGGAAGGCAGACAAATATAATCTTTCAATTAAAAAAAACTTAATAGGACTCCTTCAATAATATCAGATAACCTTCTGTTCATTGTAAAAGGATAAATAAATTATTAATATTTAAATTGTAAGTAATAATCTGACAATGATTCAGATAGCCAGATACCCTGTTTCTCCAACAATATGGCCTCCCCCAATAGGAAGTCCCAGCATGTTTTATAGGCATGAAATGAAATTAAGCCCCTCCCCCCCAAAGTAAGGCCTATATTAAAGCATGTGAAATGGGGGGGGAAT